AATCGCGATATATTAACGGTTTTCCCTGGGGTTTTCTTACGTCTTCACGCACATGACCATTGCACCTTCGGGTAAAGATTATTTGCTTTTCAGATTATAATCTGATTGATGTGGTGGCTAATGCTGCCCTTCCGCAGAGATTAATCAGTTGAACCTCGTGTGATAGTCCGTCAAAGTTCAAATGGTCCTTTATGTTCTGACTCTGTCATATTTTAAGGCAACTCAGTCCTCTAGACTAAATAAACATGTGCTGACATCGATGACGGGTGTGGATCGTGCGTTATTCGACCTACACCCTCATACACTTGGTAAACTCTTCCAAAACTTCGAATTTACCCCGGCGAAGCGGCGCACATTCAAAGTATATTACTTCGAAGGAATCAAGTGATGCGACATGGAAACTGGAGTATGAATAAAGTCCATTTTACATGAGCTCCCTCAAGAACATGCCTACTCTCACTTACGCCATGGAGATGGGGCTAAGTTAGCTCAATCTTGAAATCTGGTAGACTTCTAGTTGAGAGCATCTATGATAAGCAATTTTCCAAAAAAGGAAGATGTACCAACTTAAGCAAGAACAGGGCTTTCGCCTGTGGCACCCGCTGCGCGCTAGGAATCATGTGGTCACGGCCCCTCAGCAGCCAGAACCTGGGTGCATTCAACCTCGAGCATATCCGATCACGGACGCCTACACATTTCATTATCACACAATCAACTGACTAAGCTGGTTCTGACTGACCCACGTGACGCTTATTCACTCACGTCCACACATCTCTAGCGAGTAGACGCGAGAGCAGGCCCCAATCCAACCGCGCGTTGGGGGGGAGGGCTCTGACCACCACGAAGACACCGAGTATTTATTCAGGGTTGCAGATTAAGAAATAACGTGTGTCAGGCATCTTTCTGCGTAGTCGGGGATTGGATGGCCTTCTCGTCATCTTTCTTGAGGTTAAGAATATCAGGGCCGTCAAACTACCTTTCGGCAAGTGCCTGGTTAATTTTATAGTAGAGATGAGAGGATAACACGCAAAAAAACGTTTTCGCTTGAATTTTTACTGACATACTGGATGTGGCTATCTCAAAAATTACCACACAAGCTGCTGCAGCCCTTTCAATGCACTCGGAATGCTGAAAGTTATGGCATCTGTACGAATACCTCATAATTGCATAAGCTGAAGCGGGACTAACCGGGTACTTATTTGGGTGGTACGATATAAGACGCGCTGAAGTGAGTGCTGTCTGTCAAACAGGGCTTTCGGAGTTTTTTCTAGACACCAGCTGACGCCAGAAGTCATTGGATACTCAAATTGGTTTTGTGCGCGTAAAGCTGCGGCAGAGGCATGAAAATGGCTGACATTCCACGTCCGAAGGGCACAATCGAACACCAAGTGACAGAGAACGCGCCTTTTGTCCAAACTCATCTTCATCGCGGCACCCTTCTCTGGCACTACAGCCTCATGGAAAGGCACCACGGTAGTCGAACCCAATCATGTTAGCACTGGAGGTGTACGGCGGGTCCTTCATCAAGCGAAATTTTGCAAATGTTCTGAACCGTATACAATACCCACACCGACTCTCAATTAATTATCCACAGATGTCGCTGGTCTTTCCTCATTTCTGTCTAACTTGTCAGTGTAAAAATGTCACTTCTCTTCAAAGGGAAAATAGCCAATAGTGTATCTTAATTAGAAGAATTGCCAGAATGAGCACAAATAGTTTTTTTGGTTTGTTAGTCCAACCTGCCTACTTTTGGAGGTAGCCTGTGCTCCTAGAAGGGTATCCACAGTAGAGTTGCGGCAGGGATAATAAGGGAACTGGGTTTCGCGAAAAAACGATACGCTTCGTTTGACTCGTTGGCTCTTTTGGAAGCTCTGGATTAGATTCTGGGTGGAGGCGCCCTAATGTGGATGTCGCAATGTCGATTTTTGACGAGCTTTTTGTAGCATTCTATCCCAAAGATTCCAAAGCAAGATGGAAGCTTGGGAGTATAAGTTGTCAGCTGTTGACACGGACACGAGCGTTATAACCCGATCAGAAATAGTGAATATACGTCGATGACAAACATTTAAACTTGGCTTGTGGTGTTACTCGAGGCCTAGTTCTTGGTTTTTTTACTTCCTATCCTGTAGGCTAACGATAGTTTATCAGTCCTAGTTGTGGTACTATCACATCCGCCGATGGCGTCAAGGTCTGGCAAGTCAAAGGATCGGGCAAACCTAAAAAATACTAAGTACTGACTAGAAAATTGATTTGAGATTTGGTTGGATGGCTTCAGTATAAAAGAATGCACTATTGTCTACCCTCATCCAATAGCTTGCATTTCAACCAGCAATGTACGACCGTAATTGCTGAGTGTCACTCAACCGCCCGTAAAACCCGCACAAAAGCTCCTAGGTACTTTGGCACAAAGCGATCTGATATTCTCAGCTAAATACATAAGAGCTTCTGAAAGCGTCTTCAGGGTGCTTCAAGAGATAGAAAGCCTTTTCTAACTCCTGAAAACTTTTTCAGTAAAGTTGGAGACACATACTGGAAAAGTCATGGCCCTAGAAAACATGAGAACTCTTGAAGAAAGGCGGCAACCCGCGATGGTACCAGTGAAACAGCTGCAACACCATTCCCTGTCAGGAGGATTGAGGTATCTTGACCATGTTCCTTCCTTTTGCAAACAGCGACGAGGTCTCATTCCGGTTTATATATTAATTCAAGGCTCAGCGTTAAGCTAAATATTAGTAGTGGTGATTATTCCGATTGGAGATTTTGTGTCCTTGTTTTTCTCGACAAGCTGACTGCCCGTTGAAAGCCATTCCCCACTCATCTGTAAACTACTTATGTACCATAAATACCCTACTAAAATTAAATTCGTAACATGTTATAGTGAAATTTTACAAAATAGCGTACGAATGCAGGATTGTCGTGGCAGTGTCTATTGCCCTCAATACCCATTAAACATTACTGTATGAAAGCACATCCTCTTGCTTTCTTTTAAATCCAATCTTCGGCTGAATGACATCAACAGTTCTCACCTTAAACGGACTGGATTTATGACTCAATTACAGGCCAAAAGGCTAGCAGGACAACAAGAAGATGCACTCCGTCACAACTTATGTGATGATTATTGCAGTAAAACTCCACATGTACTGACTGCGAATAACCATTCCAACGTCTGCGCGCATGGCAAATCTGGAGTGAGGATCAGGTCGCGTTTGGCGGGCATAGAAGAAATATTTTCCTTTTCTGCCACTTCGCCCACCTCCAGTCGTCTTGGTATCGTCTTGCTGTCATCAGAGCGAGGTGGGTGAGGGAGGAGAGAATGCGGCAGACACTTTGCTCCAGCGTAAACTCATTCACGCGTAGGACACCAGTCCTGCAACCACTCCGGGGGGTTGTGCGGTTGACACCGCTGCCTGCGTCGGCCGGACTGTCGCCACCGTTGCTGCGGCAGAACATCAAACTCAATGACAAACTGGATCTTGGTGTGGATTTCATGTACACTCTTGATCTAGCAGTGCAGTCCCACGATGGTGTTTTTGCCAAAACTCTACGACAGCAGCATTAAAGTATTTAGTTCGACTGAACCGAGCGTGAATCTGTAAACGCCGGTCATTACCAAAATATTACATAATGGAAGCACATCTCGTGATTTCATTTCAGACCCCGCAAATAGAGCATTGGAATAATTCGGTTTCAAACTTCTTCGATTCCCGAATAATTTTGAACCTGACCTGCCGTTACACTTGCATTCAGGGTTTCCAAACCCCAAGCCGTATGCTTTTCCTGTATGGAAAATCATACATTTCTATACTCCCTCAAGAGTAGACCATATGGAGTTATTAAGATTTAGCAGTGAGTTTGGGCCATATGGTAAACATTACAAGCAACACCAGTAAATGCAGGGACACAATGTCTTATGAACGCGTACCTCATGGTCTTCAAAAATCTCATAATTAGAAACTTTTCAGAACAGATTTATGGTTTTCCTTCAAGCATAAAATTCAGAGACGTAATTTTCTGCGAAATGAGTAAAAGAATGAATGTTCTTATGCATGTCTTCCACGAAATATATTTGACTTTGTAAGGACATCGAAAATCAACGAGAAAAACTTCATACCACTTAAGTAGCCATTTTCTGCAGTGTAGTTTTTGCAGGCGGTCGGAAAGAAGTTCGCTCAAGAGCCGGCAACCCGAAGTAACTGAGTTAGCTGGAGATTATGCAGCGCGCTGATTAGTACTACAACCCTACTTAGGTAACCATTCCGAATTGACAACGGATCTCGGAATTGCGGCTAACATTTCATGAGTTAGCCCATCTACTGTATTTGCGTAAGTCGTGGTGGAGTGGAGCCAACGGCTAACACTAATCCTGAATCCCGAGAGGATCACGGGCTGCTTCCAAATCTGCCTACTGCTATGGACCAGTAGCCTTCTAGCATCTGTTTTGCTGACGACTTCTGGGTGCGTTCAAAAAACCCCTCTATACAGCTCTTAGAAAGCGAACCCATTGGGAAGGACGTCGTTCTAAGATGGCCAGAATCGTCCGCGCAGAACAAGCTTTGCCGAGGCACCATGGTCCCATCACTAGTTTTTACAATATAAAATGCTGAATCTGAAACTCAGACGCGATACATAGCCGAACTGTGCCCCGCCTAGGTGAAGAACGACAGGACTGGTCCAACAACCAGGCCCAATAACTTCAGCGGCGTTGCAAATATGCCGAATAATCTCATTTGCCTTGACCCGACAGTCAAAATAGTCACCAGAGTGAGGCTCTTGCGTTAGGCATGGCTTCGCTGAGCCACATATGAGAACTGGCAGGTATATGAAGTGAAAGCTGAGTGATCACCTGATGCTGTTGGAAATCTTGTGCGACTGCGACAACGCCGAGACACGGCGCGTTTTCAAATACCAGATACGATGAGCGTAAATAAAAAACTTGCATGATATAAGATATTCGCCGTAAAAACAAGCTGTACAGTGGTTTTAAAATATGAAAATGTATATTAAATAGGTGGCGGCCTGGGTTTCTTTGATCCTGACGGACCCTCGTCTTCCTGCTTCTCCTTCTGGAAGATTGGATTCGGTTGAGTCCTAAGAAGACATAGACATACAAATAACCAATGAAAAAAGGAAGGTGTAATAAAGACACCGCACCAAAGTAAAAATATGGCACTCCCAGCGTGTGACGCTTATTTTCGTTTCCGGGTTTCTAATCCGGACTGATGCATGGGGCGAGAACAACAGCAAGAGGTAGCCTTTAAGGTAAATAAAGTTGCCCTACTGATGCATGGAACTTAATCGCTTTAGATTAAGAAGTCAAATGTCAGTTGTTTGCGCACATGAATCACCATTTTAAACCAGAGGAAACTAACTCAAACCAGACACTGCGCGTACTTTAAGTAAGCCTTCGTCCAGAAGGGCTTCTCCTTCGCAGCTTCAGCATGACGCAGGATGGCCCCACGGATATCACGCTCAGCCCGTTCATCAGCCTCGTTCTTCTTTAGGACGATCTGCTGTACCATGTATCGGTGAAGGCTGCCCACGCGTTGGCCAACATCCTCACCCGCCGGTGGTGCTCTCTTTTTGGCAGCCTTATTGGCAGCCTCATTTGCAGCCACCTGGTCCCTTTCACTGGCAGTGATTACGGCGGCAACAGCTAGCTGAGTCTCGTCCTCGAGATTTCCGAAACGTTTACGCATCTTTCGGGCAATTCGTACGGACTCTTCATCGAAGGTAAGCAAAACGGGCTTGATAAAGGCGTCTGAAGAACCGTGGCCCTGGCGTCGCCGGCGGCTGGCATCAGATGCCTGTCTATAAGCGCACATAAGAGCGCCATTGCGGCTGTGAGTTGGATCAAAGTGCACGGTGGCAAGACCGCTGGAGAAAGTAGCCACAATCTGATTGATACGGGGATGCCAGAGGACGCGAATGGCGCTGCCTTGTCCGGGAGAGTGTTTTACTACCGGCTATTTTTCAAAAAAAGGAAAGACGGCAGACTGATAGCAGCAGTGGTGTTGTAGTAGTAGTAGTAGTAGTAGTAGTAGTAGTAGTAGTAGTAGTAGTAGTAGTAGCAGTAGCAGTAGTAGTAGTAGTAGTAGCAGTAGCAGTAGTAGTAGTAGTAGTAGTAGTAGTAGTAGTAGTAGTAGTAGTGGGAACAGTAGTATTTGGTCACTCGACCAACCGAAAGGCGAGGAGAGAGAGAAGAGGGTCTAACAAGTCATCAAGGCTGTTACCTCAAATGTATCTCGTCGGTATACTATAACCTGCCCGCTGCTGGGATCTCCCTTACCAGCCGACACTGCAGCCACAAGCAGAGTATCGTTGGGACTGAAGCAGACTGCGGTCTGATCAAATAATACCGGTAGGTCCCGCACAGTATGTACAGCGCCATCACGCATATTCCGAATGTCCCAGAGACGGAGAGTATCGTCGGTGGCACGTGTGGCCATAGAGCGGGCGTCCCACGACCAACAGACACTAGTTGTTTCGGTTCCAGGCGGATGTGCACCTCGAAGAAGGTGAGCCGTATTCACCAGAGGCTTGCGGGTATCCCAGACCTGTAGTGAACCATCTTGACAGCCGGCGGCGACGAGAAAACCATCCCTAAGCAATCAAGTATAATTTATTGATAGGGTTGAATTGGTTTTTTTCAGATGCAAGGAGTGAAAATCTCTATGGAATCAGGTTCTATGGGTTTTGAAATAAAGAATATAGAAAACGGGGGTGCAGAAGGGACCTGGCACTACGAAAGCTAGCCCGTACAAGATTGAATTCAGGGTAAGTCTTTGGTACTAATTTAACTCAAATAGATTAAAACTTTAATAAGAGCATTCAACCTTAACGTGTGGACGCTGAAAATAAAGAAGAGTCGCGGGCTAAAAAGATTATCAACTTGTTAGCTTAAGGACCACGTGACCTTGACTGCGGTCAATAAGAAGCTATTAGTATACCGTGTTGCAGTAAAAAAAACGCGTAGTCGGCTCAGGCTGATTGCCCTCTTTGAAGCTAAAAAAGCCCTCGAGGGGCAATTCAAGCGGTTCTTTGCTAGAAGTGAAAGAAACTCAAGAAGACTGGGGCAAGTTCAAAAGGAAGCATGCGCAGACGGACAGGAAGGCGAGACGAGCCAGCCGGCATTAACTGTTGGCACATCAACAGTTGGACAGGGAGACCTGGCTACAGAAAAACTGACTTACGTCTAACGAATAACAGTTGCAAACTGGTAGCGGCAGTAGGAGTTAAATGAGCTAAGTAGCAGTCTGGCAATTTCGTCATATTAAACCCCATGGAGTCGGACGGTGGTCATTAACCGTCACTAAATAATCTCTTCTTATTATCGCTGCCTGGTAGAGCAAGTCCAGGTATAACCGCGACTGCAGTCGACTAACTTCGACCGGAAATTTTCAACATGTTATTAGACAGTATTATATGACCCAGTAGGCGGTTGTCTCGCCAATATTTTGAAAATGAGGATCACAGCCACATATATCGGACGCTGCCATTATAGAGATCTTCAGAAGACAAATAATCTTGATAACTTGGTCCTGATTGACCCTAAGTTGGCAATCTCAAGAACCAAAGTCTGTGAGAATGACGAGTGACTTCGTTGAAGTTGCTCCCGGCTTCCAACAGGACTGTTTCGTCTCATGAACTCCTTCGAATTGCGTGACAAGTCTATTCTACAAGAAGTGCTGGAGGACCATCCGGCGCTCCGGCAAACCGCGGCCCAAGTACCATTAATGCCGAATAGGCCAAACGAAGTGCAGTACTCGTGAGTTCCCTCGCAGAATGGTAGTGTGCGGTGTCACGAGCCGGAGATAACTATCCGGTCATTGTAGACGGTGAAAAGTCTGGGCCAGCGGACGGCTGCTGTCAACGTAAGCCAACATCTATGTCAAAAGGACAAGGTACAGAAGGAATTGACAACCGGTTCAAAGAGACAAGTGCAGTACTCGTTCGGCTTCGTCAAAACCTCCGGAATAGACGGAGGACCAATCAGAAAACAAGATTGTAAGTATAGGAGAATTAATTTCATTCAGTTCATCTATATGACTTAGAACCTGGCCTGTGTATCGAGAGGATATTTGATGACTGTACGATATATCGCACTTGAACAAAGGATTTGTCTCTCTCATAGGGTGTGTCAACGAATGTGGCTATGGACACAATCCGACAACTATGGCTTCCTTATTCGCTAACCGAAATGGTTTGGTTATGTGACGCACGGACCTTAAGAAGGAATACTCTCGAGTGGTAATTCGACTGAGTGCGGGACTGACTGGCGACTGTAATGAGACGGTCGAACTGTCATGTGAGTCCACGGAAGTAGACAATAGGTGTGCGCACTGTAGCTAGATTCGATGTGGTGCCATCGATGAAACTGCCTGCGGTCACGGATGTGGTGAGTCATAACCTCCCAGGAAGAAGGAGCATGCCCAGTCTAAGCAATCAAATTAAGAATTTAGTTTGTGGAATCCCTGCCCTGCCACACGACCTCCTTTCTGTCCATGTCATTCTCAGTGAACAAGGCCTTGGGTGCTGTCACTAGATAAGCACCAGTAACGGAGTACCTGAGAAGGAATGATCTGTCCTATTTCATAAATGGCCACCCGTGCTACTTGTCAGGATCGGCTTCTGTATTCCCGATAAGACGGCACGAGCTTACATACCCCAGCGCTCTTCGAACACTAGTGATCAGAAAGAGCAAGTCTGGTGAACTCTCATCTCTGTGGAAGAAGGTGAACATCCGCAAAGCATTACTGAGTGAACGTGGGCACTGTAAACGCATATCTTGGCCATCCGGCAGATAACGAATTGGTGATAGGAGTATAAACTTACGAAGCCCAGTTAGCCCTTAAATTGCTGATCCCACTTCGCATTCGAATTGGAAGGGATGGTATTTTCTCCACTAGCAGCCGTCGTTAACAGCTCTCGACAGCATCCAAGCCGGGTCATTGAGAAAGATGGTTATATCAGTCAAGCATCCAACAAGGTTAGCACGTCTGCAAAGGCAGATGTGGCAATATGTCTATGGCGTCTTTAAACATTCAGGTTTGCCGCCCTACGGAAACTACAGGTTTCAGTAGTCTTGATGAGAAACAGTTGGTGGTGAACTCAGTAACAAAGGCTTAGTAATTACATTCGAATAGTCAGTGCATAGATATGTCCGTTGGCATTCATTCTGCGGACAGCTCCTTGGAGAACGGGGTAACTCCAAGAACTAAGTCAGGTGCCCGACTCCAAAGCCAATCAGACCAAAGGCGGCAACGACGATCTGGGACTGTTAGGGGGCGAAAGCATTCTAATACGACAATTGACGGCCCGATAGATACAACCACGCACGGCTTTAATGTTGTCTACTTCCGATAAGTTTTTTCATGGCATGGAGTAGTCTAGATAGAACAGTGCCTGTATGATAATCGAGTTGTTTACTAGAGTCATCGGTGGCTACCCAGAAGCAAAATGTGACAAGCATAATGCTTTGGCATGCCTCAGTGCATGCCCGCTTCTGTTGTGAAGGTTAAGGTGCGATCCATCTGGTCTTGGAGCCCTAGTATATTTCTTTCTTTGGTGACTTCCGTCAGCGGAGAGGCTTCTTTAACTCATGAAGCAGGGACAGCACATAGACATCAAATATAACAGGCACTCTGTTGTTCGAAGGTTCTTTTAAGCGATAGAATCTTCAATCTTAGTTATGGTCATTTTTACTTTTCCTGCGGTTACTTGGCCTTTTTTAAAGGAGGCTACGGCTCCCGTTGGGTAAGCGGGTCGCTTTCCTCAGTTACTGTGTTCACCATATTCTAGATTCGAATGGTAGACCCCGAAAAGAAAGGGTCACAAAGTCATACCTTCTATTTCATGCCCCATGGTCGTGGAAACAGGCATGCAAAGTCTTCAGAGACGCTCAAATAAGGTTATTTTGAGAGAAGTGTAGTAAGGTGCTTCGTAATTTCGCAATTTAGTAAGGGTGGGGAAAGCCATTTTCTGAATACTGCCATGGGAACTTTCGCAACTCTAAAACAGTCAAAGATCCCATGGTGTTGAAGGCACTCAATGGGTACCTACATTTCAACACCAAGCTTGTGGAGGCGAATGTAACGGTCAAATTTATCGGGGACTGTATCCGGAGAAATGAGTATCCAAACCAGTACTGGAGTGCTGCAGCGTAGTCGTACAGTTCTTACCACAGAAACTCTGAAAAGTTACGCTGAGAATCAACTGGAAAGTACCTTCGTAAAGACAGAAGAACTTGAGCGTCACGTGTGTCGACGCACAGTCGCCCTTGACACTCTAACAGATGACGGAAGACAAGAATTCGACAGCTACACTCAGTCCATAGGAAGAGAACGTGGAGAGGCAACAAGTTCTGCACTTCTTAAAAGTGCGCATGAAATGAATCCACAATCACGGTTTCCGAAAGATCCATATCGGTACGTACATAACCACTCCGATATAACACTTGATAAAACATCACTTGAAGCATTATCCCTTGGTCCTAAGTTATGCATACCTCGACGAAAAGTTAATCAGTTAGAATTGGAAACTCATTTCGAGAACCTATGGAACCAAACCTACTATCCGGTGCCCGCTTCCGCAGACAGTATCCAACACTTTAAAGAAACACTGGTGAATTTCAGTTATCAGTACCTGAACAGGGAGTCAAAAAGTCCAAGAATTGCTGACAAAAGCACACGTGGAAAAGTTAAAAAAACTTCAGGAGAACAAATAAATCTTGGTAACTATACGGGGCAAAGGAACAGGCGTCATTATAATGAACAGATCGGACTACTTAACGAATATACAGTCCATATTGTGAGACCAGAAGAAATTGAGGAAGCTTAACAAAGAAAATGAGGGCACGGAGGAGGCAGAGGTAAAACTGACTGACTGTCTAATTGGGCTCCAAACAGGGGGTTACATAAGTGGCCGTGACCTCGAACACCTCCGGCCAGTCGGCATACATATCCTTCGACTATATGGTCTACCTAAGACCCATAAGGAAGACCTGCCAGTTTGTCCGATTTTAGACATGCCAAACTCTGCCTATCATGCGTTAGTAAGGTGACTAGCAGAGAAACTCAAGCCCTTACAGCATCAGCTAGCACCACACAGCTATCGAGATATCTCCGAATTGATTGACGACATCAAAGACCCTAGTTCTAACGGCATGGTGACATTCTAGCTAAACGCTGTATTACTTTTCACAAACGTCCTGGTCACCGAGACGGTTGAATACACCTGTGAATTTCTATCAATCAATCAGAAGGAAATAGGAATTCCGACGGACAACTCAAGTAATTATTACTAAGTTGCACATTAAATGTACAGTTCCTTTATGACAACCAACTCCATAGACAAATAGACGGCGTTACTATGGGCTGGAGATTTCAACTAAGCAATCAGATCGACAAGCTTAAACATTACGATAGCTATGTTGATGATATCTTTGCAATTTCCACCGCGGAAACTGATGTAGCTACCCTCTAAATGCTGTAAATCAGGCGCATCCGTGGACAAAATTCACGTTGGAGATGGGAACGGCCGGTTTGCTCCCTTTCTTGGATGTTCTTCTACAAAGGAGACCTGACGGCAACGTCTGAAGAAGCATGTATCGGATGAAAACCTGGTCTAGACAATGCACGAACTTCGCCAGTTTCGTACCCGTCCAACAAAAACGTAATCTAGCCCGGTGTTTGGTGCAGACCTAGGAAAATTTTCTCAACAGATAGCATGGAGGAGGGGCTTAGAAAAATCCCGGACTTGCTTCGTGAAAACGAGTATCCTGACAAATTTATCGTAAAGAACATTACCGAACGACGGGTAAAACCCACCACACCGACTGCCGAAAAGAAAACTGTTCCTCAAAGCCCCCTTTTAAGGAGACGCTGCCAGTGAACTCCTACGGAGACGCCTTGACCAAGCTGTCTCGCGAACCTTCCCAGCAGCAAGGATTCGAATATCATTCTCTAATAACCCTATTTTACAGGGAGAAGGTAAGGATAAGTTGCCACTTCACACTACCTCATTGTGCACCTATTCCTTCACGAGCTCCTGCGGAGCAGGTTATACTAGTCGTACGAGTCGGCGTCTATCTAAAATAATACAGGAATACCTCCCGGCATGGCTGGCAAAATGCAAATTAGGAGCATAAGCAGCGCCATTCTTATGCATGCAGTTGATTCAGGGCATTGTTTGGACCCCAGCGAAGCGTTTCCCTCGAGCTACCCTAAGCTATTGGGTCAACGTCTGTTGGTAACAACAGAAGCGGCCGCAATCAGACTACGAGTTACGAAAACCGACCCTATGCGGTCATAAGAACCTCGTTCAGGGACCGCGCTTACCGTGGTCAAAGGTTGACTAACAACGTGCAGCTTCCCGCGCCCTTCCGTTCTCCTCCCGTCTGTGTTTTAAAACTAAGCTTTACCGATTTCATAATCACTGATGTGTTTGACTGAACCCTGTTGTTGTTTTTGTACTCGCCTCAAGTAAATTTACCGAAAGCAACGCAGGCTCGCCAACTCATCTTCTGAATAAAGGAAAACGTCTACTTTTCACGCGCGCCGTCCTGTTAGTCTCACTTCAAATAACATAATCATGAGTCGATTATGAGCAGGGTACTTAGCATGGACGTTAAAGTTTGTTTGGCAACATCTTTTTCTATCAATATACAAATAATAGGCGCAGTATGAAAGTAAAAAGTTATTTAGTGATAAAGCGCAAATGATATGGGGGTTAATAAAGCGGGTAGTGTCGCGATAGAAAGGAAGAGACTGACAAAAATGAACAGTTGAATAATAACAAGCAAAAACTGCTATACCTTGAGTAAGCACAGGCCGTTGGAATGACTTTTCGGCCCTGGGCAGTTTTCGGTCGGAGAATTTCATGGTATTTAGGGATACGTGTGTCGTTAACAATTGTTTCTGCGTCATCAATTATCCATGTGCGTATTGTGGTGTCATGCGACCAAGTAAGAAACTTCCGCCCGTCAATGGGGTGCCAGGTGCCCCCTTTAAGGCTGTGTGTATGGCCCTTCGCACTTGCCGGATCGGTGATATACTGGTAGCCACGTATGGTTTCACAGAGAAATTCGCCGTCACGCGTCATGATTTTGGCTTGTGGGGAAGCCGAGACAATCAGAAGGCTTTCACCTAGTGCGCACACACACGCCAAATAAGAACGAGTTAGTGTTTGGAAAACTTTCGTCGAACAGAAAAAGTATCATCTGTAAGCCGTACTCAAAAATTTTACTGGTCTCAAATGATATTTACGGGACAAACGGCTATTCGGAGTTATTACTTTTCCGACAAACCGAGTTAATAACAAAAGTTTGTAAACGATGCTGTCCATGGATTCTTCTTACCAGAGGGGCTGAATTCGAGATCTTTAATCTGGTTGTCTTCGAAGGGTTGAAAGCACTTAAAAGCCCGACAACTCTTATCCATGCCAGAGAAATCCCAAAGTTTAACTTCAAATTCAAACCCCCCAGTTGCAACACGGGAGCCAGAAGGATCGACAGCAACAGCTGTCAGTGGTTTTGGGCCGTGCTTCAAAAGCAAAACATCAGTCATGGGAACGAAGTACGGATCGTCAGGCTCTGTTTCTTTGGAGTCCTTTGGACCAGGCATTTCTCCACCATCGACATCCGAATCGGCGTCCGAGACATCGCTCTTAGGAGCTGTTGATTCATTTTCAGACTCCTCTGCCAACTTGGCCTCTAATGCTACAAAAAATTGAAAAACCAAAGATACTGATTTACCGGCCAGTTTTTTATTACCTTCCTCGTTTCTCTCTTTAGCTATATTTTTAGCTTCGTTAAAAAGTTCCATGAATTCGAACTTTCGAGCATGTTTATTGCTCGTAAAAGAACTAAAGCCAAGGGCTTTTTCGATCTCCTCTGAGCTCATCCTTGTGACCAAATGGGCTTTCCGGTTCACAATTATGTGGGTCACGACACAGACGGCTCACGGATGTCACAGGCGCAATAACTGTGCACCCTTATTGTGCGATCGAAAAGGTCTTTGCAGTTAAGTCAAAAACTGAATAACTTTGTGGATATTTGGAAGATCTGAACACACCTGGCTGGACAGCAAGCATAACCAAATGCAAGTGTTTGCCGAAACCCGAGAAGTCGGCAAACTGACGAACGGACTAAACGTAATGGAGAAGAATGGTAGAAGACCGGATAAAAGGAAACTACGCATGAAACCGGAAAAAGGAACGAAGCGACGAAAGGAAAAGGAGAATGAAGAAGAGCACTAACAATTAGAACTATTATTAGGTTAGTGGACAAGTGCTAAATCCCACAAAACCACATAGGTAACCCATGCGCATGGCTAAACATACGAAAAAATAGATCAGAATGCACAATTTTTCTCGATCATGAGTGAGAAAGCCAAAAGTTAACAACTACTTTAAGGCAATCCACGAAACACGGAGACAATTTTATGCATTCGGGTAAAGATATGGAGGCATCTCAGGAAAAACGAACGAACATTTTTTAATTATCGGTGATTTCCCATAAAAAATACGCACTTGAATAAGATGCGCAGACTTAATCGACCGTCTTTTTGTCCGACGCTACCCATGAAGGTACACCACAATGCCTGAATGTAACTGACCCTGTGAGTCCATTTCTCCGTCCTAAGTACGAGACAAAGCTGGGATGAGCGAACCCATGTCCTGGTCTAAGTGGTCGTTTGTCCTTACTTTTTAGCCCGGTCCTTTCGACGGATAGTGAATCTAATAATAATCATCATGAATGCTCGATAGTACTCTGGGACTTGTCGCACGGATAGCATTTGTATCTTTTTGCGGAAACAGTTATAGAAGTAGACTAATTACTGTTATTTGTCTTTGGGAGATTTCCGTGCAGCACGTGTCCTCTTGAAAGCCCTGCCGTTTTCCCTGCCGTTTTGTCCTGTCTGTTTCCGCCCATACTGCGGGCCAAATGGTTGCGATGTCAAAAAGTGGCCCAGACCACCCAGTTCTCCGAACTCACATTCATGGATATAGACTAGTTTAAGAAACATGACAATTCGCTCCCAAACCATTGTGACGAACACCTAGCAGTTTTCGGGGTGCCTTACTAGTTTCTTTCACATAATTCTTACCGTCAGTGTTAAGAAGCCATATAGTGAGGTCTTTCGCTGCCTTTAAATATATGGTTAATGTCGGCTCACTTTCACCACCTAGGTTAACTCCCTGCATCTGTTGAGATCGAAGGCCAATTTATTCAGAACGTCTGCTGACACGATATCCAGACCAGACATTTCGTGTGCTGTGCCACTTTCAGCACTTTCCTTATTGCTCCTGTCGCGAAAGCCACGTGACGATCTTGTTCTTGGTACTAGTAACTGCGGTTAGTTCGGTTACTCGTCGGAATCGAACTTTGGCAGATCTCAGGCTTTAACGAATCCGAAAGGGGGTTGCTTTTTCTGATGACCAGTTAATTTATTTCCCTAAGAACCTTTGGTTTGCGGATGGGGTTTGATTCAAAAATTCTTTATCCACGTAAGCAAACAAATTTTCGGAATACTTGAAACTGTTTAAGTCGACTTAGAAGCAGAGGGTTGTAATAATTCCTTTGAATTCTGCGACACTTACATCGCCGTTTCCGTAATAATCTAGTGCAGTTTTTGATGAGCCTTGCACAAGATCCTTTCTGAAACAGAAAAGACTTTCTAGCTTCTCACTAGTGACTTCACATGACTGTCTGTCTTATAAGCACATATAGTTTTGCTTAATACCAGCACTTTCTAAAAATACAGTATCAAAAGCGGAGCGCAGAAAGCATGAAAGTATTATTCAGTTAGGATTTCTAAACGTTTACGCGTGAGGAATAATACGTCACGTGACTTCGCGGCAGCTTCTAAGCATTACATCGTCGATATCAACTTCACAGAAGGAGTAATTTATAAGTCTGTTAAAGGTAGCAATGATAAAATTTTGTCACCTCCGATCCAGTAGTGCGGATGCAATTCCGAAATTAAGTGTCGGTTGCCCACGCGTGCCATGTTCTCTTGAACTGATTCGCCGTTCTGCGTCAGAACAAATTAAAGCACGAAAACAATGTCAAATCGCCTAGCGTAGCATATTGATGTGTGTCGGTTTTCCAAAACGACTCAAAGGCCGGGGAAATAGTGCTCCATATTCTAAAAATTGTATTTTTGACAAATTTTGTCTCACTGCATCAAAAACACGTCTTAGGTGACCTTGCAATTCGTAAGACAGCTTATAAGGAAGGCCTACAGTATACCATCATGTCATGATCTCGCGTCATTGGTCGTGCTGGAACGCAAACTGTAATGACCACTGGACTGACACATTAGCGTGTCTCAGTCGCCGACAGCTTCAGCAACGACTGCGCGAGATGCAGGACGCCTGGACTGCTCGCAAAGCTGAGGAGATCCAAGGCTACGCGGACCGCAACGAATGGAAGAACTTCTTCTCCGCGATCAAAGCTGTTTACGGTCCGCCGACGAAGGGCACTGCTCCTCTCCTCAGCGCCGACGGCAGCACACTCCTGACTGAGAAGACGCAAATCCTACAGCGATGGGCCGAGCATTTCCAGGGCGTCCTCAACCGCCCTTCCGTCATCTCCGACGCAACCATCGCCCGCTTGCCGCAAGTGGAGACCAACGTGGACCTCGACCTCCCGCCATCTCTCCAGGAGACCATCAGGGCCGTGCAGCAACTCTCCAGCGGGAAAGCACCCGGATCGGACGCAATCCCTGCTGAGGTCTACAAGCACGGAGGTCCCCTACTGATGGATCACCTGACTGCGCTCTTCCAGGAGATGTGGCGTCAAGGTGAAGTCCCGCAAGATTTCAAGGACGCAACTACCGTGCACCTATACAAGCGAAAAGGAATCGCCAAGTCTGCGACAACCACCGCGGCATCTCCCTACTGAACATCGCCGGGAAGATCTTCGCTCGCATCCTGCTCAACCGCCTCAACAACCATCTGGAACAGGGCCTTCTGCCGGAAAGCCAATGCGGCTTCCGTCGTCATCGTGGGACCACAGATATGATCTTCGCCGCCCGCCAACTTCAGGAGAAGTGCCAGGAGATGCGGACCCACCTGTACTCTACCTTCGTGGACCTGACGAAAGCCTTCGACACGGTGAATCGTGAAGGACTGTGGAAGATCATGCAGAAATTCGGCTGTCCGGAGCGATTCACTCAGATGGTGCGTCAGCTGCACGACGGTATGATGGCGCGAGTCACGGACAACGGAGCTGTCTCAGAGGCATTCGCAGTGACCAACGGAGTGAAGCAGGGCTGTGTGCTGGCGCCTACCTTCTTCAGTTTTATGTTCTCTGCCATGCTGATAAACGAATACCGCGACGAACGCCCTGGAATCCGCAGCGCCTACAGGACAGACGGTCACTTCCTGAATCACCGGCGCATGAACTTCCAATCGCGCGTATCCACAGCCACCGTGCACGAACTCCTCTTCGCCGACGACTGCGCCCTGAACACCACCTCCGAAGGGGAGATGCAACGCAGAATGGACCTGTTCTCCGCCGCCTGCGAGAACTTCGGTCTAATCATTAACACGCAGAAGACGGTGGTAATGCACCACCCTCCGCCCAACTCAGCCACAACCCCCAACGCGCCGCACATCAATGTGAATGGGACCCAACTGCAAGTGGTAGAGAACTTCCCGTACCTGGGCAGTACTCTCTCCCGCAACACAGAGATCGATGACGAAGTCGCCAACAGAATCTCGAAAGCCAGTCAAGCCTTCGGACGCCTCCGAAGCACAGTCTGGAATCGCCACGGTCTCCAACTGAGCACAAAGCTAAAGATGTACAAGGCCGTCATCCTGCCGACGTTACTGTACGGAGCAGAGACATGGACGGTGTACACGAGACAGGCACGCCGACTGAACCACTTTCACCTCAGTTGTCTCCGTCGCATCCTGAGGCTGAACTGGCAGGATCGAATCCCCGACACGGAAGTACTGGAACGAACGGGTATCCCCAGCATCTTCGCCATACTGAAACAAATGCAGCTGCGCTGGAGCGGCCACCTGGTGCGCATGGACGACGAGCGACTACCCAAACGACTCTTCTATGGAGACGTCGCGTCGGGTTCTCGTCGTCAAGGAGGCCAAATTCGCCGTTACAAGGATACCCTGAAGTCCTCCCTGAAGCGCCGGCAAATCAACCCGACCAACTGGGAAGAGCTCGCTCGCGATCGTCCGACATGGAGGAGAACAGTGAAGACGGGCGCTGCTATCTACTAAGCCAACCGCATCGCCGCCGCCAAAGTGAAACGCGAAGCCCGCAAATCACAATCTCGCCCAGTACGCAACGCCGCCGCACAACCGCTCCCTACGTGTCCTCGATGTCAACGGACATTCCGGGCACGAATCGGACTTGTTGGGCATCTCCGAACCAACTGTGCTTCTCGAACTGCTCCAGCCATCGTCCCCCCGCCCGCCTCTTCCTCGTCCTCTCTGTCGCCAACTAACTCTGACACTCCTTCTGCACCACCACTTCCATCCTCCTCCTTCTCCTCCACTGCCTCAGCGGCGGGCGTTCAGACTGCCGTCTCACACATCACCAACCCCGACACAATAACCGCCACCACCCCCACCTCTCCCGATTCCAGTGATGAGGATCAGGACTACACCTGCCCTCACTGCGACCGCACCTTCACCTCTCGCATCGGCCTTGTCGGTCACTTGCGAATCCATCGCACAGAGCCTGGTGAACCAGTGCCTGGAGCACCAACCTACACCCACCGCACTCGCCTCCACTGCCCACACTGCCCTCGTACCTTCACGCATCGCATGGGTCTATTCGGCCACATGCGCATCCACGAGAGCGGAATTGACCACAATTCCGATACAGCCACGACATCCAACACATCCACCGCGCCCAGACCCATCCTCGCTCCACTGTCACACGCGCCGACCACCACCACCGCCACCACCACCAACACCACTGCTTCCTCTACAGCTGACACCGACTTCACCTGCCCACACTCTGCACGCACATTCACCTCTCGCATCGGCCTTGTCGGTCACTTGCGAATCCATCGCACAGAGACTGGAGAACCAGTGCCTGGAGCACCAACCTACACCCACCAAGCACGCCTCCACTGCCCACACTGTCCTCGCACTTTCAGGCATCGTATGGACCTATTCGGCCACATGCGCATCCACGACGACCTGCGGTAGACAACCGCCGGTTACACCACACACTCACACACACCCTACCCTCCTCCACCATCAACAACTCACATCAACACTCACCCACCGCATTCACCAACTACCACCTTCCACGCAAGTGGGAAGTGTGCATCTCGACTCGGTCCCCATGCGGCCTCGGCTGCACGGGTGACTTGTGTCCGAGACTATCCCGACACGTCAAGTGTCGTGGATAGGAAGGTTGCTGATTGACGCCCGTTCTCGGTTCATGCAGTTCGTCACGTTGTGTGTGTGTGTGTGTTGTGTGGAGTGGCGGACTGGTGGGCTGGGGACGGGCTGAAGCAGCACCTTCCACGGCACTCTCACGCAAGTGAGAGACACGCCGTTCAACCCCCGTTGTGTGAAATCCTGGTGTTTGTGTGTGTATGGGGGGCCAGGTCGTGCTGTGGCGCGCGCAGTCATGGTCCGTCGACAATGACAGCCACCGCGCCTACTCCCCACTCCAGTCTTCTGACCGGCTCGGACAGTGGCTGGGGTGTGGGAATGGGAGGGGAGAGTGAGGTCGACGACTCAGCTCATTTTCTCCTCACTATAAACAATCTGACGCGCTTGAAGCTATCACGGTGCGCTAAAAGCCGTGGCCTGGAAGGTTGCCAACTGACGGGGTAACTTGGACCTCCTCCTTAACGGGAGGCGGTCTGAGAGTCAGGCTGCAATGGCTCCTTTTTAATGTGGCCTTTATGGCACTCCTACCACAGTGTGGGATCCGAGCCAGGCGTTGGCGGCACGCCCAGGTGCGGCTTCGGCCGTGCCAGCCTCCAAATCTCTGTTATGTTGGTTGAAATCCTGGTTATTGTGGTGTGGACCAGGGGGTGTGGTGGAACGCCAAGGTGAGGATCCGTCCGAGCCATCCACCTGCGGCCTCCCTCGTCTCCGGTCTTCTTGACTCTGTCTTGACACCGGGCCCAGGCGGGGGAGGAGGAGAGAGTGTAGGTAGGTGCAGCGCAAGTCTACTGGCACTATAAACCCCTGCGTAAGTCACCGTCCCTGCTCCCACCGCTGCTGCAGCTGTGGGGCATACGGTGGACATCGTCGAAATCGACGGTCGAACTGTCGTGTGTGTGTGTCGTTGGTACTGTGGAAAAGGCAGTTGGGGAATTGGTTTTCAACGTTTTCTGCCCAAAGACAACAGCGGGAAGGTGTCGCATGCTTGTTACTGGTTGGGTTGAAGGACGCCATCGACACCTTCTCACTACATCTGCGACCCCATTGATAGACGGTTGGGCAATGGACGGAAACAACAAATACGCAATGCAATTTTGCTGTCTATGTGTTGGGTGAACCGCTCGATAGGCAGTGTTGCAGTTTTTATGCAGTTTGTCGATGATTGTCAAACATCAAGTAAGAGTTAACACAGATGGCATTTCGTGGTCGTTTAGTAATAATAATAATAATAATAATTTGTATTCCAGACCCGTGGGGGTCCTATCATAGCAAGTAAGAATAACTTTTACAATAATTTTAGAATTTTAAACGAGGTATACAAAACGTCTACAATACTTAATTCAATAAGTAGTATGTTACGAAGAATGTTGAGCGAGCAGTGAAAAAAAGCTCCTAACATGAACACAGTTAGTATGATTGACTTAGAACTATAGGAGAAAAAAAAACAAAACTCGCGCTCCTTAATATATAAAAAGCAGGCAGGACAGGACTGTATGTGGCTTTGTATAACGGATTTCATGAAGGGGTTAGTAGGCGGGTCAGGCAGGACTGGCCTGTGTGTGGTAAACACTATCGCGCGCACCCTCGAATTGCTTTGCGCACTGGTTCCCTAAAAACAATTCTGCCGTGTTTCTGTGCAGATTCTGGGCGCATGGTTAGAATGTTCTAAGCAGATTCTGCGTAGAGGTTCACACACGTGTTCTGCGTAAAATCTGCGCAGAAAATTCTAGTTCCGTTTTTTAACAGGACAGAGCCCTTCCACCCTTTATTTATAATCAACCCTTACCCGACACCCCGACCGTTTGTTCGCCTCTCTCTCTCCAATTCCGGTTTCACCTAAGCAGATGACATGCAAGTCTTGGAACGTTTTTTCAGAAGAATAAGATTTTTATTTCAAAAAGGTGCAAGTAGTAGAAATTGTAAAATTTTAATATTACAAATGAGATTAGGCACGATTTTTGAATTCGATTTAAATTTGCTTGTCTTCCTGTTTTGAAATTTCGGTCACCTGTCTCTGCCCAGAGCCATGTCTCGTCTAAATAGTCCGAGAAATCATATCCGAAGCGCAATTAACCTCCGTTTTCGCGGATCACATTATCACCGATATCTTCTTTTTTCAATGAGGCTCTCAGGAAACTGCTATCCGGGGCTTAACGAAGTATCTGGCTCGGTTTATTTCAGATTCCTACGAATACCGACCATATCGTGCTTCCGAAGTCAATCCTTTGCCGGCGAAGTGTTCGAAAACTCGCATAAAGCAAATACTCCTGACATGTTGCCTGCGAAGGCATTGTCGTTCTTTGCTCCTAATTGACACTTTATACTGATTTCCGTTTGGAAACAAGTATCTGCTTTGTGCTCAGTAATCTGGTCACTTACAAACTTAAGTAACCGGTTATAACTTAATGCAATCTCGAAGACAACTTGCTAGCATGGGGAATGCAAATGTCCTTGACTCTACTGTGTGGCAGAAGTCAGCCGCGTCAGAGATTCGAACCAGTGACCCCTCAAGCAAAAACCGACGCTATTAACCACTCGGCCACGTCCGGACAGCCGTATGTCCAAGAAAATAATCTATACTCGGAAAAAGGCGATCTATTTCTCATCTGTAAACTGTTTTCTATTTTTTAAAATAAAAATTTTACGAAAATACTTAACTCGCTCTCAGCTGGGCGCAATCGGCCGCTGACCATCAGTCCTGAAGAACGCTGTGAACTACTGAATTTGACCACATATAAATTACATACCGAAAAATCGACATGCTGTGATGGATGGCGAGCACTCATCCCCACAGTCGCGAAACTAGAAGAAGACATCGATCTCCTCACTGAAATGATAGCATCACTCCTCAAGTAAAGCAAAACTGAACCCCAGAAGACGATACAAAAGACATGAAAACATCAATGAATCGGACCATAGGAATCTCAGGAAACCGCAAATACGCTATGGACGTCACGTCCTGTGAAAGACGAGGCAAAGATCGAAGTCGTTAGACAAATCTACCGAATTAATTGAAAAAGGGGGGATAAAAAGAAGTCAAATGGAGATGGGAGTGATTCCCGCATTTCCATAAATTTGACAAATCTAAATTATTAAGGGTCCGTCTGCACCAAAATAAAGCAGCAATCGACGACTCCGATAAACTGTAGGCAGTTGGTACTGCTACAACTGTCCATCCTCTTACTACCAAGGATAATAACACATGTTTAAATGCTATCATTGAGATTGTTACTGTTTCCTTTGCCAGCACTACTGAGGATATTAGGACTAATGAGCATAACTAATACTGTAACTAATAGTAGCAGAGTAACTGCGTAAAGAATACGCCTACATGTACGACATGTCGAAGTACGTAATTATTTTATGGTTGCTGCCACTAGTGGGACCACGGATTTTACTGCCACTTCTGAAATGACAGTGACGAATAAACTTACGGCAACTCCTACTGGATGTAACGTAATGTAATCTTCTTTCAGCACTGCCACTTATGTAAAACGTACTGCACTACTTCCAACGCGAAAACGTATATCGCCGTATTGAGTATATGAAAATGGGTGCTTTCTTCCCTGTCTGCCAGTCGAATAAATATGGCAGGGGGTTTGACTGCTTATACCAGCGGGAAAGCCGAACACTTAGGACAGTATTTTGCCTCGGTTTTTACTAGAGAAATAGAGTTTCTCAGTCGCAGTTCTAGCAATGCTGTTGAGACTGCTGTTCCCGACAGCTGTCGTGGAAAGGGAGCTGAAAATCTCAAGGAAGCAAAGTCCTCGGGTCCGGACAATAAACCGGCAAAATTCTTGAAAGAATTGACGAATGAACTCTCCAAACCAGTGACGCACATCTTCCGCTCGTCATTCGAATTAGGGAGGCTGCCATCGGAATGGAAGACAGCAAATATCTTTCCGATATACAAGGGCGGGGCTCGCACTAATTCTTACAATTACCGGCCTGTTAGTCTAACCTGTATCTGCTGTAAAATAATGGAGGCCATTGTTAAGAAAGCAACAATGGAGTTCCAGGAGCAGGGCCATTTAATCTCATACCTACAGCACGGCTTCGCACAGAACCGCTCGTGCCTTTCCAGTTTACTGCTCTCGACGGAGCAATGGACTCGCGCACTGGACGAGGATGGTAGGGCCGATGTCATCTACACAGACTTTAAGAAAGCGTTCGACAGCGTCCCACACAAACGCCTAATCTACAAACTTTCTGAAATTGGGATAAGAGGAATGCTGTTGACATGGATAACAGATTTCCTTACCGGGAGATCGCAAACCGTGTGCATTGAGGCCTCAAGGTCAACTCCTACCCCAGTTCTAAGTGGTGTACCCCAGGGCTCCGTCTTTGGGCCTTTACTATTCCTGGTTTACATTACGACTGCGTCGACGACCTGGGATGCAGCGCCATCATGTTTGCTGATGATATTAAGCTGTGGAGACCTATCAGATCTGACGAACACAGGTACGCGCTTCAAGACAGTCTCAACCGCCTGAACAGTTGGGCAGCTAGCTGGCTCCTTAATTTAAATGTGGACAAATGTGTGGTCCTGAGACTCCGCACCAGACGGACCAGTAAGGAGGACGATTCCTTTCAATATGTCCTTGGTGGTCAGTCCCTTTCAAATGTTGTGGAACAGAAAGACCTGGGAGTCCTAATGACCTCCTCGCTGAAACCATCATCACAGTGTCAAAGGGCAGCCAAAAGTGCGATAAGGGTGTTATTTGCGCTGAGGCGAGGATTTTTGCAGATCGACAAGGAGCTGTTCGGAGAAACCTATGGGGCATTCGTCCGGTCTCACTTAGAGT